TTATCCTGGGCGCCTCTAATTAGGATTTGAAATATATCCTGGGTATAAAAATAGTGATGAGCACAAATCATTATTATATGCTGATGAAATATTATGTTGTAATGATAATTATGAAGATTCTATATCAAGATTTATAGACATAGTACATCAGTTTGTTAAATATCAGGTTACTCAATTCATTGAAGTAAGTTTCACATACTTTCAAAAAACTGTAATTTATACCTGGAAATCTGGAAAAAAAAGTATTTACCGTGTTTTTTGGAGTATAAGACGCACCTTCCCCCCCCTAAAAGAGCATGGAAATGTTAGTGCGTCTTATACACCGAATACAGCCATTTTTGGCCTCCCAAAGCCCCGCACCTGCACCCGATTTTTGTGAAATATGGGCAAAAAACGGGCCATTTTTTACCAAAATGGTGTTTTTGCCTTCCCCCACCCCCCAGAAGTACTCTGCAGGCTTCAGCAGGGCTGGGGGAAGTGAAAAATGCCCCCATTTTGGTGAAAAATGGGGGCACTTTTGCCTTACGCTAACCTGCTGAAGCCTGCAGAATGCTCCTGGGGGCTGGGGGATGACAAAGACTTTTTTTCTTACTTACCTCTTCGAAATCTTGGTGCATCTTATACACCAGTGCGTCTTATAGTCCGAAAAATAGGGTACTTATTGTTTTACTTTTTAGAATATCTTGGAATATTTATTCTCCCCTATCCCAATTCCTATTTCTAGATGTAATTCTTTAAAAAATATTTTTGATTAATATTTATATAAATAGATCTCAGTGACTTTATACAGAAGGATAAATGTAAAAGAAAATATTTCAAGATTTATATAAGTATTAGTATGATTCCCATGGTAATACCTGTAAGGTATTTCATGTAGATGGTTTACCAAGAAACTTTTTAAGGGAAGAGCCTCCAAGATTTTTTTTATCTAAATTACAGATAAAGAAATACAATACAATAAGACTTTAATTTGTCCAACTTTCAGCTTTCTTACTATGCATACATTTTGACTTCTATTTCTTTATGGAATCCTAGTGGACATAATTAGGAAAGTTATTATGGGGCTCCTGATATAACTGAAGTTTGGTTCCTATTTTCTAGTCAAAACTCTATTTCATGGTATAAGACGATGTCAAACTTGATTTCATTGAGGGCCACTTCAGGGGTATGTTTGACCTGGTGGGCCGGGGTGGGAGTGGCCAGGGAGGGTATGGCCAGCTCAACGTCACTCATGTTGGGGGTGCCTGTGGTGACCCGAGCACTCTGACAGTGAAAACAGAGTTTGGAAGAGCCACGTGCAGCCCTCCTGAGCTCTTTTTGCTGGCAGAGGTACCACGGGCCAGTCCTTTGCTATTTCCAGGACAGCTCCACGGACCAGATCTAAGCATCTTGCTGGCCGGATCTGGTCCCGGGGCCTTGAATTTGACACCCCTGGTATAAGGCATATTTGGAAAACAGGTGGAAATGCAACTTTGACTCTTATTCACATGACAGATATATACATTGGGAAATCTGAGTCTGAAAATTGAAGATAAACAGTTATAATTCAGTAAGAAAGGCATTAATTAGCTAGCCAAGTTTTAAGCCATTTAAATTACTGCAAGAGAGATTCAGATTGTCCAAAACTATAGAAAATTGCAATGTACTCGATCAAATATGATTGGTCTTCACAATTTATTCAAAATGCATTAGCGGCATCTCTATCCTGAATCATTATCGGCGCTGAAATTTGTTTTGGTTGGATGATTCCAAATGTATAGTATTTTGAATAGAATACTAATCATAAGAGAAGATGACTTCCAACACGTGTTTTCCCATTTATTGGACACATTAGATTAGAAAATGTGTATAAACCAGTGGATCAATGACATTTTATCCTGTTGCCCATGTGAAGGCGTGGTTAATCTTCCTGCCATCACAACTGGAGCAGTTGGAAAGGAAACAGCTGTGTCAGTGCAGCAGGAATAAGAAACCCAGGGAAAGAGCTGTCTATTCAGACTTTCCCTTAGAATTAACATCTCAATAAGAGGCTTTGCCAAGGCAACCTGAGCTAGATGACTCCATCATCATAACTCTATCTTGTGTGAAAGGGGAGGCTGCTGGCCTAGGATTCAGTCAAGTCCTTCCTGTTCAAAATATTTCTTCCTTTTCGTACCATAGAATTACTCTTCCCTAGACTGTAGGAGATGTCAATTTGGCTGTGACCATAGAAGAGCATTTTCTATGTGTAGGAAAAAAAATGGTGTTCTTATCAAAATCCATTTGCATTTCTGAAGCTTTAAGAAATCAAGATCTCTGTTGTGATATTTTACTTACTATGGATGACCAGCCTAATTTATCAGCAATATTTGGGTAGAAGAGTAATCATATCAACCAATAAGAGAACTTCCCAGAACATTATTCTAGTCATTGTAAAAAGTTGTACCTTGTTTTTCTTTCTCATTCCCATTGTCTTTTCCTTCTCTACCATGTCTTTTTAGATTATAACCCTGAAGACAGAACTGCCTGCTTTTAATTATTCTGGGATCTTTCAGATGGAAAATGTGGAGTATTAGCATAAGTAGCCTTGTGGTTCCTCATTATGAAACCCCTGTGGAAGGCCTCAAAATTATTTTGTGGTCCGGCCAACTGGAAGCTACCCATTAACCCCTTACAATTCTGAATTTCTGTTTGCAGATTAAAAGAACAAGATCTCTCCTTTTCCATGTGGACTAGAACCTCAAGATTGTAGACAGTATGATGCAACATGACCTGTGTGAATACAAATTAAATTTTTATTTTTCTATATCAAGACAGCTGTCCTGTTAATTGTTATTTCCAGAGAGAGAATTCGCTCCCCACAGAGATCTTGATTTACTGTTAATAGCTCTTATTCAAGGGAAGTTTTTTTCTAATATTTAATTAAAATCTGTTTGTCAGCCAGTCCTGTTCATTGTCTTTAGAATTAGCGCAACAAATAGTTTTGCTCAAGATAGGCTTCCAGGTATTGGAAGGCTGCTTTTACATGTCTCCTTAATTCTTTTCTCTTGTAAAACATTCAAAAGTGCTTGCTTTTAATAGGATTTGTAGACATCAACTTTCCTAAGCTACTATTTTCTGGATGTGTCAATGGCATTTTGTAAAATATAGCCCCTAGTCATTAACTTAGTTCTGGAGCTAACACAAAGTGGAGTAAAACAGTTGTTTGGTGTTGTTTGGGATAAATTACCTTAGCTTTTCATATTGTGTGGCTATCTCACTTTCATACTATTCATATTCCATCTTGTCATCCGCTAAGATACCTAAACCTTCTTGGATATTCTGCTATGTCTGTACTTGAATATTTTATATCTAAATGTTAGATGTTACATATTGGTTTAATTTAGTCTCATGTTATTCAGTGATTCAATTCTCTACTTTAGTTTCAAACTACTGCTTCATCTTTCAAGATTCAATTCATTCATTATGCTTACTGTCTAGTTTAATAAGGATACTGTTGGAAATAACTTTTTCTTCTTACTGCTTCAGTAAACCCATCAGATTATTGATTGCCAGTAAAAGATGATTGAGTTTAATCTGGCAAGACTTATTTTTGACAAATCAATGTTGGCTCCTAGCAATCAATATTGTTAATTATAAAAGTACTTTTCCAATTATTAGATTTATACCCCATCACTTTGAAGGAACCCCTCATATTTGATATCAAGATCTACCAAAATATTTTTGTTGCCAGATAGATTTCCCTTTTTTTACCCTTTCCTTTTCTGTCTTCTAGGGAGGAGTAATTAAAACATGCTTGTAACACTCATTCCTCCATTTTCCTACCTAGAACCTCATAAATTTTAGAAGTTTTCATAGGCATGGTTTTTGTTCCAACACCGATGAGCAGTAAAGGATAGTATTCAGCTATTTGTGTTAACTCACATGTTGAATACAGGCATTGAAAAGCCAAACACCAGAGGAGGATGTGTGTGCAATGTGTGTGCCTTCATTCCTCTTATAGGAGGGACATGATCAACACACTTGTGTTTCTGTGTGGGTCTGAGTGTTTTCATTAGTGCTTCTTGATTTATTATCTGCCAATAGCTCACAATAAAAAACTGGTGCTATTATAGAATTCCAATGGCATCCAATGCCTCGCAAACTGTTTTGGTTAATGTGTCATGTTCTTGAACTCCTGGGCTACCATATCTGGATTGCAAACATCAGATGACAATTAGTAGGTCTTTGTTGCCATTTGGGGGGCATTTGAATTTCTGTCCAAATATGGTGCTTTTGCTTATTTCTTGCCTTTTGTCTCTTATCCCTGTCTTTCATTCATCCAGTATGTGGGGGTCATACAAAGAAAATACCTGAATCTCCTTTGATGTTTTTCTTGCAGAAGGCAAAACTTCCATTTTCTTGGGAAGTAGTTTACATTGTTGTTGGGCAGAAGGTTCACAGCTTGCAGGTCATTGATCGCTTCCTCAATGTCACCTATGCCAGGTTTTCTAAACCCATATAATAGTTTTCTACATTTCCTTAAACCTCCCCACTATATTTTTTATATAAAGATTCCCTTTTGTGTGCTTCCCTTGTGATATCGTTTGTAAATATAAATTTAACCAGGCTCACCAAAATTGTCAATTGGCTTTCCAGAATTTCGGATAGAAGATTTTTCATACTCACACTTATCTACTCTTTAAATGGAGAGAAAGATATAATTTTATGTAAACCATATACTTTGCCACTTAAATATATTGCCTATCTCTTCCCCACAGGGCTTCCATCGGAGGCAAAGGAAATGGTCAAGATGACAGGTGCAGCCATGGGATTGAAGCCTGGCCCCTTTTGTGCATGCATTGAGGATGCACCATATGTAAAAGGGGAGGGGCTTCAATTGCAAAATCACAGATGCTATCTTGACTTTCTGATCCACTGCAAATGTTCTGCTTCCTCATCACTTCCTCAATTACTTGGTTACAGGAATGATGGTTACTTTAATTTCTATATTTGTTTTAAATCCTCGGTTATCTTTACAGGTGCAGCATACAGAATTGTGTTGTTTGTCATCATGCAGTGATAGAGAAAGGAAGTGACCTCAAGGACTGTTTGATTGGAAATAGCCAGCACCTGGAAACTAATTGTAAGTAGAATGTAACCAGTGATTGTTAAAAGGGCTGATATTGTAATCCAGTATTTCTCAACCTTAGCAATTCTGGCTGGGGAATTCTGGGAGCTAAAGTCCACACATTTTAAAATTGCTGAGGTTGAGAAACATTGCTGTAATCTGTCTGTGTTCCTGGAATTGTCCTCTGAAGCGATGCAAATGAACTAGTTCAATTTTAATCCGCTCTATAGATTTAATAAGACAGTAATTGTAGAAGGAACTGCCAGAAGCAAAGTTTTAGAAGTCCAACCCAAATTAAAAAAGTAGAAGCACTTTTACTCACTCACTGTAGATTAAAATTAAATTTTTAAATGACAAAACTTAAATCATGTAGACCAGGGATGTCAAACTCCCGCCCACGCCAATGCATCATACGCTAACCATACCTACGCCTGGTTTAGCAAAGGGGAAAATAGTCCCAATATATCACAAGACACTGTTGTCACAATGTGAGTTTGACACTCCTGATGTAGGCAGTAGTAAACTGCACAAAATATTGGTAATTAACATTTTTATGAGACCATTTGAATATTTGCAGAAAATAAGAAGGTTGGGATAGATCTTTAGAGAGAGCTTAATTGTGAAAACCCTGTCTTAAAGCTAATAGTTTATGCCAATCCCTTATAAAATGATACCAGCCATTAAAGCTTTCAGAATCTATCGTTCTTTTTACTAAGTGTACTTGCTGGAGCCAAGAGTAAAACATTAGTTCAAGTGAGAACATGGTTTGGCCAGATTCAAACATATATGTTTTTTAGCAGTCTGGTTTAAGTATTATTGTTAGAAAATCAACAGACAACCTCTCGACAATGTATTGTAAATCACTTACACATGTACTTTCCACCGAATCCTGTGCTAAACTATGGGTGCCTGTGTATATAAGTGAGCCTATGCTCAGACATTACTCGCTTTGCCAAGTTACACAGTGCAGCCTTAGCAACTGCTGCATGGTTTCATTGATCAACATGATGTTCTGTGTTGGGATCTAAGCAGTTCATGCTAGGATCAAGGTGAAACAAAGTTATTCAGATTAAAAGCATGCCCGCAACAGACTTATTTTAAGGATGAAGTGCTTTCCTTCATTACATTTCAAGGAGTGTTGGCAACTGTCCCATGTGAATTGATGAGGTCCAGTTTGACAAAGGACAGCTGTCTAAACTATCTCTTCTCATCCTGAAGCTTTGTAAGAATATCTGAAGTGATGTGTTCTCCTTTGCTTAGGTGTGGGCCTATGAAAAAACTATAGCATTAGCTGGTTATGGTGGTCTGGGGGTGGGGTTGTTTAAAGTAATTTCCCCCCACAAGCAATGGGCTTCTAAGGTCTTCAAAGTTTGTAATGGAAAAACTGGCTGAGTTTGTATATACACTATATTTATGCTTATTGCAGAAGTATTTATACTATGTTTTGCCATTTAATTTGGACACTAAGGCAGTTAACTCTCCAGAGTATCAATAAACCCTGTGCAGGATTTTTTGTATCTTGGATTTTTGAACAAATTTATCTCTAAATTTGTGGGTCTGAAAATTAGAGATGGATAATATTTTAAAGCAACCAGTAACATCTTTTTAAAAGACAGACAGACAGACAGACATATTTGTGCACACATACACACACACAAACGTACAGAGTGCCCAAGAAGTCTAGCTGACTTCATCAAAGTATAGCTTGCTTCAATCTCTCTTTTGCTTTAAACATCGGCTTTCAAGAATAAAGTAACCTTCTTTAATCCTTAAGCCTTAATATAGACCTGAAGGATGCTAATTCGGGAAAATATATGTCTAGCATTACAGAGTAATTTGTTTGGTGGCTGGGCTATTTTTATAACTAGAAAGAACTATTTTCTATCTTCGTTTATTCTGCTATCAAAGTAATTATAGCTTGTCTTTTTACCCTCTATATTTTCTCTCTTAATTAAATATTTGGTAATTTCTTTTTCCTTATTCTTCTTTTCCTCCTCTAATGAACAATATTTTAAATTATGAGGCATCAGCAGTTTTTATTGTCTTCATATGAGCCAGGAACAAAATGGAATTATCTTTGAGAGGCTTCTATTGGATTTTTTTTTCTTTTTTCGGTTTAAAATATTCTGAATATTCCTACTTAGCTAAAGTATCACAATATTATGTTTTACTATTTAATTATTTTATGTTGAATTAAATCACTTCACTTTGCCATTTTATAATCTGTTCATTCCAAATTCTCATTTATATTCTGATACATATTTCTGACCCTTCTTTTCCGAGGGGCTGAAACACTGCCTCCTTAAAAAAAGGGTTTCCGGAACTATGAATGTTAGTACACCTTTTACGACGTAATAGTTTTTTTAAACTGAAGATCTAAGATCTTTTTTTTAAAAAGAAGTAAGTATTGTACAAAAACGATTGTTGGTCATTCGAGAAGTAGCTTTATTATGGCGCTGTAAGTTAAAGAAACCTAATAATCAAGATAAATTGATGATATCTGTACTGATATATATTCTGATTTCTGATTTCCATAACATACATTGTTCACTTCTCTTCAATCAAATTCTCTTTAGCTAGTAGCTGTCAGTGGTCCTAATCCAAATTCCAACAGAAACCATACCCAACTGCTTGTCACCTAGAGATTTAAAATTCATAATTCTTCTGTAATAATGATTACGCTTTAGTCAAGAGGTTGAGAGAAAGCTGCTTTGAATGCAGAAGTCTATCCTGGATTAGAATCCACCATAACAGGAAACAGTTCTGTGTGGCCTGAGATTCTTTGTAAACAGCCTATGTGAGTCAGAGACCTTGTTGTTAACAGTCCAAATCACCATATGACATTTGTATAATAGCAACTGTGCATCTGGAAGGTCTTAGAAATTTAACTCTAGGGAACCAGCTGTGTACATGAAGTGGCATCTGTATATGACCCGACTCTCTGATTGTATATGAACACCCACCCTTTGCCAAAAATCTGCAGTCGCATACATCTCCTGTTATTGCTTCCTATTTTCCCTTCTAAGGTGGGTTCAGTAGCCCTTCAGATGCATATTGTCATACATTCATTTGAAAGTACGAACAATTAAAGTTTTCCCAGACCATCAGCGTTTATGCTTACTAGTGATGACTGCAGAGCATTGCAGCACAACTTGCGCTTTCCTTTCTCTGCAATGACTTCATTTAGAAAGTTCCTCACAAAGAGAAACTAGTTAGGCAGACAAGATAGAAGTACTTTTGCTATCGTGAGGCACCTACCTGTGAAAAGGCAAAGTAAGGTAGGATAAAGAAAAGGTATTACAGCATAGCTTATCTTCTGGCATGTAAATAATTCTTCCTAGTTCAATAAGACTCTTCATCAAGCAATCTATTCAATCTTTTATAACTGTAAAAAGGTGTAAAAGAGATATTTGATATGCAAAAATCTTATCTTCATCTTGCTACCACTATAGTTAATTTTAAAATGTATCCACAAACATGCCTTTTTTTTCAGCTACATATATTCAGAGAGATATTTATATGCTTTTTATCTGCAGAGCAGCATTCAATGTAGTTTAAAGGTAAAGGTTCCCCTTGCACATATGTTCTAGTCATTCCTGACCCTAGGGGCAGTGATAATCTCTGTTTCAAAGCCAAAGAGCCAGCACAGTTCAAAGACGTCTCCATGGTCATGTGGCCGGCATGACTAAATGCCGAAGACGCACGGAACGCTGTTACCTTCCAACCAAAGGTGGTCCCTATTTTTCTACTTGCATTTTTACAAGCTTTCGAACTGCTAGATTGGCAGAAGTTGGGACAAGTAACGGGAGCTCACTCCCGTTACTTATGCAGCGGTAGGGATTCAAACTACTGAACTGCCAACTTTCTGATCGACAAGCTCAGCATTTAAGCCATTGAGCCACCGCATCCCCTATATATATATATCAATGTAGTTTAGCATATTACAAATCGTACAAAAACTCCCACATTAAAATATAATATTTAATTATAATGTATAAAAGTGATAGCCTTTAGTTACAAATGCAAACTATAAGTGATAGGATAATTAAAATCAAGAACTAGGGGGAAGGGGGGACTTGTCAAAACAACAATGTTTCAGTATCTCTTTTTAAAAAAGAACACCATTTTACTTATCCTGTTGGAGGGAGAGTTTTAAAATGTTAATTCCCCTGGTCTGATTCTGAAGAGAAACTTACGGCTGATCAGGATTCATAATTCTACAAAAGATATTAATTCCCAAGTAACAATACAGAGAGGCACATTTCTCCTTGATTAATGAAGGCAACCTGATATCATAGACTAAAATCTATGATATCCTAAACTCCTAAAATCCCTCCTGGGTGAACATTATGGAAGTTGTAGTCCAAACTGTCTGGAGTTCAATAAACTACATTCCTCAGGCCAAGGTATCCGAGAGTTTGTGGGAAAATATCTTAAATACATAGGCTTCTTCCCTTTCACGATGGGTTGTATGAAAGTTCCCCCTTGAAAGAAATCTCTTTTTTCCCTTTCACCTCTCTAGTGAGTCCAGTGAGCTGCCCCATTTTGATTGTTTCTCCTAAGAATATTGCTTCTCTTTCCTTCTGTCCTGGCTTGCAATCCTTGGAGAGGATTAAGCTTCCAGTTTGCCCTGGCACCTACTGAATGTTTTCTTTCCCAACAAAAGAAAGACACATCAGACTTTTAGTAGACATAAGCAGTGGTCTTCCTTCTTACTGAAAGCCTCTCATGCGTTCTTGGTTTTGAAGTATAGGGGAAGCAGTCTGGGTCAGCAAATGGTTACTGTAGTTCTCTTTCCTCCATAATAATTACAGCGGATAGATATCATAAATAGAAGAAGGTGTGACCGTGCAGGTTTTAGAGCAGAGGCAGTGGTTTCCTGCTATAGTTTAAAAATTGGTATTTATTCCTCATGTTGATGGAAGTTTATTCATCGATTTAAATCATTTATATACTGCCTAGCAATAGCAATAGCAATAGCAGTTAGGCTTATATACCACTTCATAGGGCTTTCAGCCCTCTCTAAGTAGTTTACAGAGTCAGCATATTGCCCCCACAGTCTGGGTCCTCATTTCACCCACCTTGGAAGGATGGAAGGCTGAGTCAACCTTGAGCCCATCAGGCTTCAGGCTGTGGGCAGAGTTTG